ACTTCCTTCACCCATGTTTAACACACAAACCCTGCATATTTAGTTCTTCTCTAAAATGGAAAACACTCACTCACTACAGGAAGTGCTCCACTGCTTTTTTAAACTCAATACACCTTCACTAGAATCTTTTCAATGATTTCGGGCCTGGAATTGCTGGAATCTCTACTTAACGGAAAAGGTAAAAGGAAGCTGTTAACTTGAGAACTACCACAAGCATGACATCACAAGGTGGAAGAGAGCATTTTGAGCTTTGGAGATGTAGACAGACTAATAATAAAGGATGGTTCAAATATGTGTGAATGAAATAAAACACAACTCCAACATTCTAACATGGATTAAAGCTCACAAGAGTCAATGTTGTGCAATATAGGCCTTTTGAATGTTTTGTTTTGAGAAATCTGAGTTTGTTAATATGTACAGTTTTATTCATATTCTTTCAAGATGTACTAAAAGTTAAACCTTGGTAACACTGGATCATTCTAACAATTAGGAATGCTCTGGTATCAAATATTAGCCTGATTCATGAATATGCAATGTTAGAATTCGTTTGCTCCATGATATGCGAGTACCTTTTTTTTTTTTAAACAATTGCTGCTATTTGGTCATGATGTATGTAACTAACTGGTATATTAAGCTTTTCCCAAATCCCGTAGGAAGAAGGGCAATAATGTCTTTCCCCTTGATAAAATTCACAGAACATTCTCTTTATTCCAGCTTTAAATCCTCGATCTCGAGAATCATTGCCAACACAGAATATATGGCTGTTCGCTGATTGGCTGGTGCCTGGACTTGCATTCCCATGGTTTTTGCGAACCGTCTAGTGTATTCCGATTCCTGACTTAGTCGCTGGAGAGAAATTAACTTGAGTGGAGGCACTAGGTGGCGCCAGACTGGGCTAATCAAATATTGGCACCTACAGTGAAAAATTTGCTGTATAAGATATCGACTTCCAAATATAGTTCAGCCGATATCCTGGTTGGAAATGGATGTAATAAGACTATTTACTGGCTGTGGTCGGCCTAGATAGCTGTAGTACTTAGCTATAGTACTTAAAGCTGTAGTATTGGAATAAGTATCTGATCTGAAAAAGCTGTATTGGTGCATCCCTATTACCAATAATGATTGATGATTTACGTTACTTATATGTTTGTTTAAATGTAGACTGTATAAAATGTTATGTTTCCAGGGGATATTGTTGTTGTTTACTTTGTCAAACTTTCTACTTTCTACACAGTGACACAGTATTCTGCTTTCAGTATCGCCACGTCAAAGTTTGTGTCATTGTTCACTGTGCTGTATCAGTTTCTGCCTCCTCCCATTGCTTTAGTCACACACACACTTTTAAATGCACTATTTCAATCTAACGTTATTGTGGTTTTGTGGTCTCATTCTTTTTGTTTGCTGTTAGTCTCCTGAGTGAATAGTCAAAAATATCAAAACAATAAGTCCTGACATCACTTGTATTACATAAATACCCAGAGAGTTCCTCGCCATATGAAGTGAGTCAAGCTATACCACATACCTTAAAACTTCTATTCACTCTGTACTTATAGTTATTTGTTTACTAGAAATACAATTGTTTTCTTTCCAAGTCCAATGAGTATTTTATAGTGTAACACAGATTTGATCTGCTGCTTGTTTAAAGTCTTGTAAATGACTGACAGTTTGTGGGAGGCTCACTCTGCCGCTCTCCTCAGGGAACATGACCAGGAAGTAATTAAGTGTCAATCTCCATGAAGTACACACATTTACTTTCTCCTTTAAAACGTCGGATTACTGATTTTATGCATATTCATTACATTAACACACATATACTCGCTGTAACATTTTGCCTTCAGTAGAACTGTCAATTGTATGTAAAGTAAAGTGTTAGGATTGACAGTACTTTGGTCTACTTCTCCTGTAGGAACTTTACTTTAAACACCTAGGTTTGAAAACTGAGTAATACAGCTTTAACTATTTATTTTATTTGTTTATAAAGACACAAGTGACCAACACATCACATGATTTGGCACCTATAAGCTTTAAAGGTCTGATATTATGCAGAAGTGACTCTTGTGAGCTTCTTGCTAGAATCCTGTTACAGTGTTGTTACCTGATCAAAAACAAACATGGAGTTGTGTTTTGTTTCTTTCACATGTTTGAGTAACCTGCTCTGTTTCAAATTGTAATGTCATGAGGTGGCAGTTTTCAAGTTAACTACCTTTTCCTTTTTGCACAGTAGATACAGGGGGCTAAATTATGTTTAATAATGTTTCTAGGGGCATGTATGAATATAATTTTAAAACAAAGTGGAGCATTTCCTATCTTACCACATGACATCAGAAGGTGGTACAGAGTGTTTTCTGTTTGAGAGAAGAACTCACCCTAAATATGCAGGACTTGTGTGTTAAACATGTGTGAATGAAACAAAACACAACTCCAAGTACAAACACACGCCAACAACATAGATTAGAAAATGTAATATAAAAGTGTGAAAAGTGTAATAAATGAAGCCAGGCTGGGGCCACCTAGTGCATCTGCTCTATTACATTTTTCTTCAGTGACCAGGTCAGGAATCGGAATACACTAGACGGTTTGCGAGAACCCTGGAAGTTGTAGACCGCATACCGGACAACAGTAAACAAAGTGGTCAAGATGGATGTAGACAAAGACATTCTGTGTTGGCAATGATTCCCGAGATTGAGGATTTAAAGCTGGGACAAAGAGAATGTTTGGTGAATTTTATCAAGGGGAAAGAAGTTATTGCCCTTCTTCCTACAGGATTTGGTGCATTACATACGTCACGACCAAACAGCAGTAATTAGTTAAATAAAAAAAAGATACCCGCCTACCTTATTGCTGCGAGGTCAGACGGTTTCCACGAAGTGAAACCAGCTGATGAATCAGTGAATCAGGCTACTTTAAGTGCACACATTGAGCAAAATGTATTTTTTATTTTATTTTTAATTTTTTTTTTTACAGTGATATCTATTAAGCTGCATTCACACAAATTGGGGAAATAACATCGATGTAAAATAAATAATGTATGCCATTATCAGCCATTGTATAAAGTCCTCACACAATAAATGCCAAGGCAAAGGTATGTTTAATACCTAAAGGCCAATAATAATAGAAATAGTGTATTATGTGTGCTCTTTAAATAAACAAGTACACGTGCCAGTTGTTACGCTCAGTATTCAAGTTGCTAAGAAACATTTATTAATTTGTAATCCTTTGTAGATCTATGGACACCTCTCAGTGACCCCTTTACATTGTTGTTGCATTTATAAGTTTTAACCTCCAGTTTCTGGGACAGACTTGTCAAAAAATCCGCTTCAAAGTTTCTGTGACGCAAAGTGAACTCTTGTCCCCTCTGCTCTCCTCTCATCCCCTCTCTCTCCCCCCTCATCTTTCTATCCTCTCTCTCTCTCTATCCCCTTTCTCTTTTTCCCTCTGAAGTACTTCAAACAGCCTCTCTCGCTCGCCCCGGTGCGTCCTCTCTGTTTAGAAGCACCTCCTGTGTCTTCAGAGCGTGTCACCGAAAACCTGTCAAAAGTGTCTCAATACAGTTACAATAGACTGCAAGAGGGTTGATATACTCCAATCCAAGTACCTTAAAGTAGTGTTACAGTAGAACTATGAAGAGAGAATACAACAATACAAAGTAATTTCCCCATATCACCTGTGATAGTATAATCACTACTGTTATTCATAGATTATAGCACTGACTGGCTATAACAAATCTCTGGTCTGTCTAAAATGTTTCACAAATAGGGTACTATAACTACTACTACAACTGCTATTTCAGTCGTCCCTCGCTATATTGTGGTTCATCTTTCACGGTCTCGCTGTTTTGCTAAATTTTTTTTGTGTGCAATTTTGCATGCTGAGTATGAACACGTATTGCGTATTACGGGTGGGTAGTAATTACACATGGGTGGGTCATGACTAAACCAGGACTAATCTTGGATTTAAGAGAGAGAACCCCGAGCAGGGTGTCCGCAAAGCACAATCAGGCAATTGCCGCGCTTACCTGCATGAGGTGTGGAGCTCTGCACAGGTCCTTTCTCCTGCAGTCACCTCCAAGCCCGTCCCGACAGTGAGTGCTGTTTCAGTCCTGGTTTAGTCCTGGTTTACTCCTTTTTTAGTCCTAGTTCAGTCCTGGTTTAGGCCTCCTTTTCAGTCCAGGAATTAGTCCTAGGTTAGTTCTGGTTTAGTCTTGGTTCAGTCCGTGGTGTAGGCAAGCGCAAAAATGTGATATAATCTCAGGTGAATGGGCAGGTGTGGTGTTGTACTGCGCAGGTGTGGGTCTCCAAAAATGGACCTGTGCAGGACTCTGAGCTGTAGGGCTCCATTATGGAATAAATTAATCTTCGGTTTGTTACATAATGAAGGAGAAAAATAACATAAGGACGACAGCAGCAAAAAGTTTTAAGAAGCATGCAAAAAGGGCTATAACTGTTCTGTCTGAGAAATGTGTATGAAGTGTGTGGTGAGGGGTTTTACAGACAGATATAATCATCTTTAAATATAAAGTTATAAACTTCACGGATTTCAGCTGTCGTGGGTAATTTTTAGAACGTAACTCCCGCAATAAACGAGGGACCACTGTACTACTACTTGTCAGATTAATCAGAAAAATACAAAACATTTCAAAATATGTATGTTTTTATTGTATTATTTTAAATGTGTCTACTTAAAATGCTGTCCCTTGAGCCTGTACTTTCCAGCTCACTTCACATCAGAATTGTGATTCCATTCGACACCATAACTGCACTGTGTATTGTTTGGGTCCAGCAGTGAACACAATGGCTCTGCTCTTTAGTACAGAAGACACAGCCCTGGGGGGATACCGCGCTGTGGCCCTCCCTGCCTCACTCCCAAACGCCACTTCTCATTTCTTTACACAGGCAAACACTCCTCTCTGATTGGCCGCACTCCAAGGGAAATGGGCGGGGCTTAGGTCTATCCTGACTGGAGTTTCTCAGAAGTTTTCCCTGAGTGGGTAAAAGTAAGTGTTGTGGAAAACAGGTGGTGACATAATGGGTATAGGAGTGGGTATGATGAGAATTAAACCAGAGGGAGTGCATTAAGAGAATGGAGTAGTTTGAGCCCTGCTGCTGTTAACATAAGGTAAGAGTTACAATCTCTTAAAAAGTTGAGTTAAATGTGTGTAGAAGTACAATTTTGCCAGTAGAGTAGATACCTGTATTAGTCGTCGTAACAGTAGTAAGTAAAACAGATAGAAGAAGTACTTTTCACTCTGCCACAGTATTCTAGATGACTTATACAACATAAATAATAAAAGTTGAAGTATAATTTGTATCTTAGCTTATTAGATTTTCACTTCAGAGTACAACAAAGTATTTCCTCCTGACCTATACGAACTATATGTGTGTAACTCGTGATAACAATGACATTATTTACTCTGTTTCACCTGCATACAATGACTCAGTGTCAACACTTCACACAGCAGGTGGAGCTTGACTCTATACTGTAATACAAGTACTTCAAAATAATACTTACTAACAACACTCTTTATATCACTTCTATAGTATTGGTATTACTGTCCATTCCTCCACAGAGACATAAAAACAAACCTATTACTCACCTACAGATAAAATATTTGTGGTAAGCAGATAAAAATACTTAAGAACACTAAGTAGCAGTAGTGTACAGTGAACTAAATGTTTTGGAGCACAATGTCTGCTCAGTTTGTAAAGAAATGTCCTGGGACCCTCACAATAGCCCTCTCTCCCCACTCTCTCTCTTTCTCCGCTCTCCTCTCCCTTTCTTCTGGGTTTTTAGGCTAAACTCCAGTGCGTCTTAATCCTTTCAGCTATGTTTTTAATCGGCTCTTGTGGTCAGCCAGGTAGAAACAAAATGGCTCAAAGCTTTAGCTGGCAATAATATATCCATGGGTTTCAGCTTCTCCTTTTGTGCAACATTTTGAACACTTTCTCCCATTCAAAAGATATAAGATTTAGATTTAAAGTTTTACTCGCTCTGGTCCTAAGTTTTTTATCATTTTGAAGCACTTCTTTACTTTCTCAGATAGACTTGGTAATAGCTCGTGTCGTTTCCTCCCACACATATCCGAACAAAATGAAGAGTTTTCCTGTTTTAAATCAACACAGAAATGGGATCAGCTCTGATTTGAAATGCTTCAGCTCTCAGCAGTGAGGAGCTGTATTTTCATCTCACAAAACAATGAGAGCTTCATCAAGATTACAAGTATTTCTCAGCCTGATTTAGGGCTGGTTAGACTCAATTTCTTACTATTTTCCTGTCTGTGATTATACAAACACTCCCAAGAATTTAATTTGGTAAATCATGGTTTTAGTTGGGAATGTTTTGAAAAAGTAGGGGAACAGATAGCCTACATAAGGTGGTAGTCTAAGCGTATAGTATTAGTACATTTGAATGATTGGCGTTTTTGTGGCAGTAACATCTGTACCAGTATCAATCACTTAGTATTACTGAGATTTACAGTGGAGGGTTTACATTTAGTTAGTTATACGCTGCTTGTAAAATGAACAGTTGTATATTTGCAATGTTGTACAGCTATTTTCACATTCAATTTATTATTATTGATTATAATTCACAGTGTTGGAGAGATTACAGATTACATGTACTGGAGTTATGTAATCAGAGTACAAATTATGAGTAACTGTATTCAGTTACAGTTACTGTTTCAGTGAGTGGTAATTGGATTACAGTTACTTAGTTGAAATAAATGGATTACACAGCGGTATTTTCCTGTTTTCACATTTTGGGCTATTCTCAGGTCTACAACCAGGTCTAAAACAGGATTTAACAGGACTAAACCAGGACTAAAACCAGGTCTAAACCAGGACTAAACCAGGACTAAATCAGGACTAAACCAGGTCTAAAACAGGTCTAAAACAGGATTTAACTAAATCATGCTGAGTGGACCGTGTCTCCTCCTTTTCTATCAATAATATTTTTAATTTGGTTTAGTAAAGTCTGGACATTTTATTGTCTTTTAACAGACAAAACATCTTATGTTACAATATCCTGGTCTTTGCTTCTCTACAGCAAACCAAGTAATCCAAAGTATTCAGATTACGTTACTCACTTTAAGCAATTTAATGGATTATGTTACAAACTACATTTTGGGGTATGTAATCTGTAATCTGTGGGGGAATACATTTTAAAAGTAACCTTCCCAACACTGAATATTCATTTGTGTTTTCACAGAAATGTTTGTAAGATTTGGGCAGAGCAGTTAAGGGCCAAACATGGAACACAATGCCATAACGAAGATTATAGACTCATTCACACCTAAATACACACATCTTTAAACACTTGTAATGTTAGAAACACAACAGCACATTTACACTTGTCCAAACAGTAATGACACTGCAAAACTTGAGTCTTGTTCTCTTTTACTTTGGATGGCAGTTTTCTTAACTTCTACCTGTGCTCTACCTTTTGAGAGCTGCACAGTTTATTGCAATTTGAGTTAGAACCATAATCACATCACAAAATTAGGTAATGTTGTTGGTGAACAGCAACATATCCTGTCTGTTTATTCAAGAGTATGTTGTAACTGTAATTTAGACCTCTACAAACATGCTCAGGAATGCACGGTATTCTCCCATAATTAGTTCATGAATCAGACTTTTATTAACTGTTAAAGTGCCTTATTACACTGTTTTCTGATGTTATAATATGCTGTTTTCTCATCACAAACATACCTGCTGAGTTCTTTTCTCAAACAGAAACCATCCTGTTCCACCTTCTGATGTCATGTAGTAATACAGGAAGTGCTCCACTGTGTTTTTAAACCCCATACACCTTCACTAGAATAATTTGGATCATTTCAGAATTGCCAATCTCTAATGAACTAAAGGTAAAACAATTTTTAAGTTGAAAGCTACCACTACATGACATCACAAGGTGGAACAGAACAGTCTGAGCTTTGGAGATGTAGATAGATTAATAATAAAGGGTTATTCAAACGTATGTGAATGAAATAAAACACAACTCCATGTCTGTTTTTGAAGAGTTAACAACATTACAACATGGCTTAAAGCTCACAAGAGTCTAATTTGTGTAATATAGAATCTTTAATGCTCCCAGATTTGTATTGCTTACTACTTTTTAAAGATACATCACAAATATAATCGCAATCAGAAAAATCACAATTAGTTTTTTTTATTTTTAACTTGCAGCCTTTCTTGTTCATATTTCTGAAGCTGTGTATCTATTTTAATATGTTTTGAATACAACAGTGTTTTTGCTTTATTTGTGCTGAGTCTGTGGCTGTAGAAAGCAGCCCTGCCGTGTTCCCATGGGAGAGGAGAGGAGTGGGTTGACTGATGTGGCAGATAAACTTTGGGCCTGTTTACCTTGTGTTGCCGCGGAGTTAAAAATATGTTTGAGAGCTCAGCAGAGTGCGCTCGCCCTCATCACTTATGCTCATATCACGGATCGAAGATGGATTCTCTGGCTTCCACTGTGTCCCGAGGAAAACATGCATCTGGATCCTGTATCAGCTCTGTGTTCTGTGGAGATAAGGAGTGGGCAGTGTCAAGTCTCCCACTTTGAAAGAACACAGGCATAGAACACACGCTTTGAGTAAGGAAAAGCTATAGTGAACAGGAGTGGTGCAAATATTTATAGAACCACATATGCTCATATTTATCGTTAAAAATAAAACATAAAGCGTTTTAAATAAAGAAAAACATGTGTCACAGAGTCTCAGCGATAAGAAGAGGCTAATCGGTGCTTATCTTGGAGTGATGCATTTCAGGAATGTCTTTGATAGGGATCAGTGACTGGACATCTTGTATTACATTGTATTACATTGCTCAGAGTACAAAATTAGAAGCTGCGAGAAGTTAGTTCCTTTGTTGAGGTAAAGGAGTAGATTATGTTTTCTTTTTATTTTTTAATAATCAAAACAGCATGCCAGGGAGCCATTTGTTTAAATTTTGGATCTGCTAAATGGGAGATACTGCTCAGTGACGCACTTCTGTAGAGCGGTGAACAATGCGGTCTCTAGTCACAAAGAGCAGGTGCGGACTCGGTGAAACCTAATGCTAACCAAATCCAAATGCTGGTTATTTATCATGACTTTAGAGCACTGTTTCCCAAAGACTGGGTCGTGACCTTCAGGTGGGTCACAAGAGATTTTTTTTGGGGTCGCGTTGTCACGATCTGCATGTAGGTCTGCAGTATACAGTTCTGACACTGATATGCTGCTGTGCTCTCCTCCTGCACCCGGACAGGAACAGGCTAAAAAAACACAGACAGGCCTACCTACCTCATTAGAAATGTTTTGTACATGTACATGTTCTGTATAATTTCTAATCTCTAATCTCTAATTCAATTGGATGTTGAAAAGAAATGGGCTACATTTAATGTCCAAATAGGTGATTTATGGATCCTTTTATTGGTGATTTTTCATTCTTTAAAACTTGAGTAATACAAATTGTTCAGAGAGACACGATCGCTCAGTCAACAATAAAATATCCTCATTAATGTTCAGTAATGATCAAATCCATCTATTTTGTGATTTACGAATAATGTCTATTGACTTGGGTCTCAAAGGTTTATGACTTTTAAATATGGGTCCCCAGAAAAAAAGTTTGGGAAACACTGCTCTAGAGTTCCTGTGATTTGCAAACTCAAATCCAGTGTGATCAGTGTAAGCTTGTGCAGACCTTCATAGATCAAGACTCACGCATACATCAATCAATAAAACTGATAAAAAAAAAGTTACTAGCAATAATAGCAATAAAGTGCTCAGGTTCAGTTCCTGATATGACAGTTGCGTTTTAGATTTATTAGACCTAGACAAACTTTATTTATCCACAAGGGAAATTATCTGAACACAGTGACTCACACATCACAATATAACATAGTATAATAACAAAGAGCAAAAGTAAAAAAGACCAAAAATATAAATGACAATAATATATTCAAATATGTCTGGTGTCAAATAAGGCAGAAATGTCTCTTGAATAATAAAAACTCTGAAGTTAAAACCATCTGTCCGTCTTACACTATATAATTTGAAATCTCTCTTCAGGCCTGTCCACTGAGGTCCTCTGTGCTGGGTGACGATGAGGGACCGTCTGGACGAGCTGCGTCAGAGGGCCCATGACGGAGCAGAGGAGGGTGACAGCTCCAACCCGTTCTCAGGGGAGCAGCAGGATGACGAGGACGCAGCGGTGGTCGGGGTCGTCACTCCCGAGGCCGTGGTCTTTGAGGAGGAGCCTGTCATAGACAATCTTCTGTCTGACATCCAGCAGATCCGAGATGACATCACTGCGCTGGACACAGAGGTACATGAGCATGGAAATTATACACTGCGAAAAGCAATCTAGGTACATTAAAACAACTTAAATTAAGAACTTTTGACATTATTTGAGTAGATTCAACTTGACAAGTAAAATAATCTACCAATAGAATATGTATGTTTTTATAAATTACATTTTCTTTCGCACAAATAGTTGTTACTTTTCTTATCGTATTTCATATTCTTGTATTTCTTCCGGGTATGGAGTGAATGAATAATAATTTGTAAAGCGTCTTTGTGGCTGTCTGTGAAAAGCACTATATAAATAAAAACTTACTTACTTACTTACTAATCTTAGGTGTAGCAAGATGTGTTTTCATATTTTAACTACAAAAAGTCTTGGTCCATTAATTTTATTTGTCAAGTGAAATTTTCCTCAAATCTTAAAAAATGTCTATGGAGTAAGAAAGCTTTCAGAAATATTCATGTGCATAGGACACAAATCTGTGCATATTTGGCTGTAGCTGAGCATAAAATAAATATTTGTAAACTCTCGAATGAGTGCTGTTTTACATACAATGTACTGTGTGTATTTTATATATCAGAATACGAATTGAAAAGTTAGGACATCAAGATTTATTCACAAAATGAAAATTCACGATTACACTTTCTTCAGTAGGAATCATAGACCGTATATATGAAGTCCTAGTTTAGTCCTAGTTTAGTCCCGGTTTAGTCCCGGTTTAGTCCTGGTTTAGTCCTGGTTCAGTCTGTATGCGGTGCAAAATCCAGCATCTCGATCCATGTTCCTTCTGCTTAATAAATAATGCCTTTGAAGTGATGATATAGTTTTGACACTAAAGTCGCGTCTGTGAATTTGTATTCGTACTAAAGAAAATGTAATTGAAAATTTTCATTTCATGATTGTAATTTTTGATACTTTTTCATTCATATTCTTACGTATAAAAAACACACAACACATTTTATGTACGACTGGACTCAATTGAAAGTTTACAAATATTTATTTCATGCTCAGCTACAGCCAAATATGCACGGATTTGTGTCCTATGCACACAAATATTCCTGAAAGCTTTCTTACTCCATAAATATGCTAATTAAAGTAATCTTAACTTGGCTAGAGTTTAGTTTTTGCAGTATAGAATAGATGAAGGAAAGAGGCAGAACTTTCGGGGTCTAATGCAAGAGAGGTTTATCTCTCATCATTGTATAACCCGGAGACTTGCACGCCCAACACACTGTGGTAATGTCCATTCAAGCCTGCCTAAGCCTCTGTTGTAGGGAGTATTACAATGAAAAGCAGTACAATATCAAACAAGTTTTTCTTTGCCCTTTTGTCCCTGCTCTTTTTAGCTGTTTCATTAGTATTTGATCACCCCATTTCCAAAATTAGTTAAAGTATTTCATCTGTAATAGTGGCCGTCCTTATGCCCAGGTGGTTAAGTTCAGCCAGCAGCAAAAGACCCTGGTGGCCACTATGCGTCGTTTCAGCGTGATGAAGAAGGAGAGCAGCATCACGAGGGACATCAAGCTCCAGGCCGAGAGCATCCACCGGAGACTGGACTCCCTCTCCAAACAGGTGCAGCGGACGAGCGAGCTGGAGGGGCCCGGCTCAGTCACCGCCCGCATACAGAAGTCCCAGCATGCAGCACTGTCACGCAAGTTCCACCAGGTCTGGACCACTATTTATTATTTAGGGCATGTACTGACCTTACAGCAGAAATCTACAGCTCTTACATGATTCAGGAATGTTGTGTTTTTAGTTTTTTTTTTTGTGCCAATTTCAAGAGAAGTGCACAATTTAGATTTTACAGTTGCTATGCCTATAAAAGCAAATTTAGTTTTGAGTATTCTAGTAGAATAATTGAATTTAAAAATGAAACCGAGCAATATCCACATTTTTGAAGACATGCTGTAGAACTGGTAGCCTGATTCATCAGCCGGTTTCACTTTTTGGAAACCGTCTGACCTTGCAGCATTAGGATTTGTTTGCTTGAGGGTAGGCGGGGAATTTTTTTTTATTTAACCAGTCGCTGCTATTTGGTCATGATGTATGTAATGTGTCATTAACAGGACAAACTGGTATATTAAGCTTTTCCCATATCCCGTAGGCAGAAGGGTAATAACGTCTTTCCCCTTGGTAAAATTCACCAAACATTCTCTTCGTTCCGGTTGTAAATCCTCGATCTCAGAAACTGTTGCTAACACAGAATGTGTGGCTTCTTCTACATCCATCTCGACCGCTTTGTTTACTGTTGTGCTGTACCACAAAAGGGACTCAGACCAGCAACTGAGTTTGACGTTATGGCTTCACAGCTCTTCACTAATTGGCCGGTGCACGGTCTACAGCTTCTGGAGTTCTTGCAAACCGTCTAGACTACTTTATTCTGATTCCTGACCTAGTCGCTGGAGAGAAATGAAATTGAGTTATAGAATTTGTGCCTAAAAAGTGTATTGCAATTTTTCCTCACAAAATGTCCACATTTTGTAAACCAACTTATTGATTTAAAGCTCCTATATTACACAGATTTGACTCTTGTGAGCTTTAAGCCATGTTATAATTCTGTTAGATCCTCAATAACATACCTGGAGTTTTGCTCCATTCACACATTGAGTAATCCTTTATTATTAATCTGTCTCCATAGCTCAAAATGCTGTTCCACCTTATGATGTCATGAAGTTGTAATTTTTAAGTTAACAGCTCCCCATTACCTTTAGTACAGGAGAGACTGGCAATTGAAAGTATATGGAGTTTAAAAACACAGTGGTGAACTTCCTGGATTGCCACATGACAAACTGAGTGTTTTTGAAATAAAACTGAAGCCTAAATATGCAGGTTTTGTGTGTTTAAACATGTGTGAATGAAACAAAACCCAACTCCAGCTATTTCTGATGATCAAAAAACAACATTATAACATCGATCAGAAAATAGTGAAATATGGGCCCTTCTTAAAGTCAACTTTTTAACCCCAAAGTTATAAATCCTCTTCCTCCCCTGTACCCCTCTGAGTCTACCTGTCTTCTTTGTTCTTATGTGCAGGTCATGCGTCTGTACAATGAGAGTTTGCTGAGTAAGCAGGAGCGCTGTAGACACTTTATTATGCGTCAGTTGGAGGTCTCTGGGCGCGATGTGACGGAGGACGAGGTGAATGAGATGGTGGCCTCCGGGAAGTGGGAGGTCTTCAATGAGAACCTCCTCAACGACGCCCGCATCACTCGCTCCCAGCTCTCTGAGATCGAGCAGAGGCACAAGGTCAGGGTTCAATGAAATTACAATTAGAGCAAATTTAGAGAGAAGAACTCAGTTTATATGCAGGATTTGTTCGTTAAACGTGTGTGAATGAAACAAAACACAACTCCAGGTGAGGAAACAACATTATAATACAGATCAGAAAATAGCATTAGAGAGAGAGAGAGACATACAAGGATACAAAACTGCAATTACGACTAAATGGTAAAAATATATAGTCAAGCTTTTTTCCCAAAGCAAGCTCCTAATATACAGTGTGAAAACTAAAGACTGATCATTTATCACTTCTAATTATTTTTGTTTAGCTCAAGATTTAATCAGCAGTCACTTCACTGGACTGGACAAACAACAGAAAGAGATGGAAAATAAAATAATGAATTGGCCTATAGCAGACAAGAATATTGACCAACATTCTCAGAAAACAAATAGATCAGTGTCTTCCAAACTTTTTTTTTTTCTGGAGACACAGATTTTAAAAGTCACAAACCTTCATGACCCAAGTTATTCATAAAACACAAAATAAAGGTGGATTTGATCATTACTGAACAATAATTAATGAGGATATTTTATTGTTGGCTGAGTGATCATGTCTTTCTGAACAATTAGTATTACTCAAGTTTTAAAGAATGAAAAACAATGATTGAACCAGCAATAAAAGGATCCATAATTCGCCTATTTGGACATTAAATGTAGCCCATTTCTTTTCCTTTTTTACAAAATGATTAGAAATTATACAAAGCATCTCTTAACATTTCAACATTTAGAGCGCAGCAGCAGATCAGGTGCAGCATTCAGTCTGTTTCTGTGCTTTGTCTTTATTTTTGTGAGTAAAGAAAATCCCAATTCACGCATATATGTAGTAGTGAAAGGAATAAACAGAAATAAAATACTGGCTCTTTTGAGAATGCAGATTGTGACAAGGCAACCCCCAAAAAATCTCTTGCGACCCACCTGAGGGCCGCAACTCAGTCTTTGGGAAACACTGAAATAGATAACAGTTTCTTTTCTTAACAACACAAAACAAAACAAACAAACAAACAAAAAAGACGTAGTAAGCTATTCTTTGAGAAGACATACACATTGTTTAGGTAAAGGTTAAAATGTTGCTACCTCCTCAAAAACATACCTGGCATTGTGTTTTGTTCTATTCCCACATGTTTGAGTAACCCTTTGTGTTAGTCTGTCTACATCCCCAAAGCTCAAAATGTTCTGTTCCACCTTGTGATGTCATGAAGCAGTATATTTTTTTTAAATTAACAGCATTTTTTTTTACCTTTAGTTCAGCAGAGATTGTTAGTTCGAGGGCTGAAATCGCACACAGTGGAGCACCTCCTGTTGTACTACATGACATCACAAGGTGGAAGAGAGTGTTTTCAGTTTGAGAGAAGAACTCAGCCTAAATATGCAGGGTTTGTGTGTGTTAATGAATGGAGTAAAATTTTCTTTTTTTTAGGCTATTTGAGTGAACATCTCCCATCCTCTTATGTGATTTAAAATGTAAACTGTGATTATTATTCATTCCCAAGCATTTATACATAAATTAGAATAGCTAGCTGTGCTATTGTGTACATTTTTGGGACACTACTTTTCTTTTCTTTTCGGGACAGGAGCTGCTGAGCCTGGAGAACAACATGAAAGAGCTGAGAGACCTGTTTATGGACATCTACATGCTTGTGGAGGAACAGGGCGCCTTCATAGACCACATCCAGACCAACGTGGAGCGGACTCAGGACTATGTGGCCGCCACTAATGAGAAATTCAAACTGGCCGCGCGATACAAGAAGAAAAACCCTTTACGCCGACTGTGCTGCTGCTGCTGTCCGCCCTGGAGATGCTGCTTATAACACAGTGTACCATTAGCGCATAGCATTTACAGACAATCTTGGGGGGTGCTCAAGTGAGAGATGGTGGAGCAGGGCCAGTGGAGCGGAGAAAACAATTAAGTGTAAAGGCCAGATTTGGTATTTGATGCGCTTGTTGGCTTCAGGAGGATGTGTATTGGAGTGGACATTTTTAGTCAGTGCTGTAACAAGGCTGCTGCTTAAAGAGAGGCCGGCTGTTAGCTGATACAGGTCACGAGACAACGCCACTGCCTCACGAGCGGATAGGGTAATTTATCACAGATTTATTTTGTATTTTATAGCACAGTTATAAATTCTTTTTAACTGCACTTTATGACTTAAACCACTTATGAGGTATGTGACTATAAAGAGGGCTGTATGTGTTGTCAGTTGAGTTTAAAGTGCACTAACTTTTCCAGTGGAGGTTCTGCTGTCGATTTGTCTCCATAAGGATTATATTGTTTTGTTTAGAATGTTCCATTGTACGGCATTATCTTAACTGTCTCCATGGATAAACTGGATAAAAGTAAGAAGTACTTTCCGTGTGGATCAATAAAGTTAATCTAAGTCTAAGGATAAAGGCAGTAAATGTTTTTCAAGGTACTGTTTTAGTAAGAATAAATGCACTTAATAAACGCAGCGTAAATACGATGAACGTCTGGTGGAACATTCTTGGCAAGGCTGTTACATCTCCACGGAGACGAGTCGGCGGATGACTCTATAACGGAAAAGTTACATAATGCATTTCCTAGTGAGCCAGAGTGTTGGACATGCGTGCAGACATTTTTAAAAATATTCCATCCAGTCCTTGTATTTGCAGAGGTTGCTAATGTTAGGCTAGTGCATGTCAATGGCCATAGTTAGCCTGCAACTAAAAACTTACCCACTCCACAAAACACCTGAAGCAAATCTATTATTATGCCAGACTGTTGATGTAAATGTCTGTGATGATAAAAATAATGTTTGAAATAAAACTAACCTTGCATCGCATGAATAGTCGCATGTTGAGAGACTATTTTCTCAGCAGCAGCAGAATTTTACTTTGCCGGTAAGATAGGTGCTAGGTTAGGGGTCTCCAAACTTTTTCCTCTGGTGAGTTACCTTTACAAAACAAAAATACCAGAGAGCTACTAGTTTTAGCAGTCACAAGAAATATATAGTATATTGAAGTGCCATGGTGAGCCTTAAATGAGGTACAGTTAGATGCCTATTAAATACAAACCATTATCCATTTGTTAGTCATGTATCAAAATAATACATGTACAGTGGTAACAGGCATTAAATGAATCAAAGTTTACTTATTCAGGACAATACGTGTCATTCAGAAATCCCTTGGGGAGCTACTTGGAAGTGGGTGGAGAGCTACCGGTAACTCCCGAGCTACAGGTTGGAGACCCCCTGTGCTAGGTGATATCAGTCTGCCACTGTCAAGCTTTCTATCAGGAAGTACTTGCTGCTGCTGCTCAGACATAAACCCTTCAAATGAAAGCTTGGTTTTACTTCTAAAATTATTCTATCGACACAGACATTCACATTGACAGTCTGGTGTTATAATTGTTTTACCTCAGGTGCTTTGTGGAGTGGGTAAGACTGTTTTAAGTGGCAGGCTAACTATGGCCATTGACATGCACTAGCCTAGCACCAGCGACCTCTGCAAATACAAGGACTGGATGGAATATTTTTTTAAAAATGTCTCCACACGTCTCCAACACTCTCGCTCACTAGGAAATAAGGTCCATGTCCAAAATTCAGGACTGTCTCTTTATTGAAGTTTTTTATTTTATTTTCATTTTTCTGTGCCGTACATTTCAGTTCATATTCAAGTGCTTTAAAAGTATAAAATTGCTCTCTTCCTCTAAATGAGTAGCATTTGTTCTTGCTCCATGTATCCTTGTTTTTATGCTATTGTTGCTCAAAATAAGCTGCTCTCAAACCACTGGAGAATTGTACAGTTGTAACATGAGGTCAAACTGTGCCAGAAGGAAAGCCAATTCTACACTAGATCACTGTGTATTGCACAAGCCTTGCATTCGAAATGACTATAATACACGGATATGAAACTGTGGTATTGTGTGACCAGTAGGCAACGTTGTGTGCATACGTGGGTGGTATGAGTGACCGATCCCGGTGTCTAATGTCCAGGACAAAACAGCAGAGGACAGGGAAAGCCAAACCCAAACCGGAAAATCAGGTCTGTGTCCTATTCCCGTGAAGAATGTCAACAACTCATATTTCACGTAGAAACACTCCTGGCTTATTTGCCACTGTAAAAAGAGAAATCCAACTCCTAATCTGATGGTTAGCTGGAAAGTAACAACTATGAATCAAGTGTTTGGCAATACATGTGAGCATGCAAGGAAATTACAATTTATTACACTGAATACAAAAGGAAAAATGAAAAAAAAAAAAAAAGTGTTTGAATTAAGTGTCATGATTTCATAATATTTTGACCTAAAATAAGGTTGCCCATGGAACATAAAATAAAGCATATAATTAAATAAAATCAAAGACAAGATGAGCGTATTTTCACTTGAATGACAATAAAACAAAACAAAACAAACAAACAAACAAAAAAAAAACCACAACAACAAATTGATATTGGCAAATTTAGGTTGAAGAATTCACAAAATCACTCAAATTAACATTTATTCAAATTGAACTCAAAGTCTTGTTTTCTATAGACTTTGCTTAAGATCAAGTTTGTTTTTTTTCATCAGAAATTGTGCAGCTATGTAGATTTTTGTAAGTTTAACCCTTTTCTCTTTCTGTAAAAGGAACATTTATACCTAGGTACAAAACCAGCATTACAAAATAAGATATTTTGTCCCATAGCTTTACATTGAGTGAGTCCTTTTTATTTGGGTCACTTCAGATAATCTGTGACTATGACATAACAGAAGCATTGTATAGGTCACTGCAATTATTTTTCTCTATTAAAAAGTCTCTTTGTAGGACCTTTGGAGGATTGTTGTTGTTGTTGCTGACAGTATCAGGTTTAGTGCAGCGAGCACATTGAGATGCACAGAGAGTATTTTCACTCCAAAGAAAAGCTGCTGCAAACGACAGTCTGTCTGAACAGCAACAATGCCATCCAGTGTTCACACGGACAATTGTCTCCTGTTAAGCACTTAAAGCACTGGACTCGATCCGAGGAACCTGCCATAAGGAAAACATTTACTGTGTATGTTAAGATCTCATATTAGGGCAGAAACAACATGAGGTGCTCTGATTTTTGTTTGTCTGAAATTCTGTGTTCTGATCCATGTTATGTTAGATGTTATAAAAATATACAAACTAATTAAATTAACAAAATGATTTATCTGTTGAATCAGTTAAGGGAAACTCAAAATAGAGCAAAGGTTTCTTATGATAAATGTGATATAGTAACATACAAACAATGGAATCCATTGTACCAACTAAATGATGATAAAGGGGACACATTAGGTAACATCATCTATTATGAGATTTTAATGTTTTAACAGTGTTCCTTCCATACACTGTATAAAGAAATGGACTAAGGAATTGTGATGTCACTCATAGTGTTTAACTTCAGTCAAATGAAGCTAACAGTGCTAGCAGTTACAGAAGCAAACTTGGAGCCAAGTTCCATATTAGAAATATGAATTTATATACAGACAAAATAACTAAATAAAAACATCAGGATCATGTAGAGGGTTAATAAGGCTCACAAAGAAAGATGAGTGACAATTTTTCAATGTAAACTCAACTGGAGCCAGAGTCAATGGAGCCGGAACTGCCCCCATTCTAACATCCTATTTGGAACACAGCAGCTAATAAGTAGATATGTACATTTATATATACAGTCTATGGTTCCTTCAACATGAGCTTTGTCAGCATTATACTTTGATTGATTTATGCATATTTGAGTAATCCTGCAGAATGTCCTGCAGACAATATCTGTTTTCACCTATCCCCTGTCTCCGCCCACTGCCCTTACCGTACATACATGTAGAGTAAAAAAATGTCACAGCCATATTTCAGCAATAAAACTAAGTGACTTCTGCAGTTTTCAAGAGTTAATTATCCTGTTTCCATTATGAAGCCATTACAGATTCCATATTGATTTTTTTTTTTAACCACAAAGAGAATGCAAAATAATGATCTACATGTTATAATTGAATTCTAAATGCCAATACTAAATCTTCTTTAAGTATAATGGGGAACTATAGCCACTTCATAAACATTTTAATAAAGTTCACCTACAGATAAGTCAGTGAATACGTGTTTTGTCCCAGCAGCCGTCAGTATCCGGCTCCAGCCCCTCTCTATCCCACACTTACTGCTGTTTTCACTGCTTGATTCATCATGTTTACTGGCCGTGCTCAGCTTGTTATCCCATATTTCATCTGCAGCCCGGAGCCTCACAGATAGATTTGGTCCTATTCCTGGCTGGATCCGGTTTAACCTTTGACCTCAGGATTATTGTGTTTTTATAGCAGCATTTCACAGAGAAAGTCCTGCTCCCACGAGTCAACCCACAGTGTCATCACCGGAGCGAATCTGGTTTTGCCTTGTAGTTTCCATACCGACATTATCCATTTTTATTGAAATATAACAATATGCAGATTAATTAGGCCTCGAGTAAGATGGAATGCACTGTTTAAAAAAAAAAAAAAAAAAAAAAGGAAAAAGAAAACATACTGAGATCAAATGATTTGCTTTATGATGCTAATTTACCCTAAGCAGCAATTAGATGAATTACCTTAATAAAACTGACTGATTCATTTGTTCCATGATCAGTTACTTCAGTTAAAATTACTTAACTAATAAACATAATGAAATAAAGTAAATCAAATATCTATGAAACAACCATGCTATCCATTTGATTAAGAATGATGAATTATTAAGAACATTACCCTAGACATCATACATTTTATATACAGTATTTTATATTTTGAATGGAAAAAAGTTCTTAACATGATGAATATTACAGGAAGCTGAAACTCATGAAAATGCATTCAAATAAATAAAAATAATGATACTTGAAATATGCGCACTACATGTAACATTTTTTCTGTTTCTCATTGTAACTGATGTGTTGTGTGGAGTGTATGGTCTGTCCTGAGTGTAGGCAGGGGCACTACCTCCCCCTACTGGCCCTGAGCGAGCAGCCCTGCTCTGCTCCTCTGTGGGGCAGGGTTTTATCTGGGGCCTCTCTGCCTGTTCCTCTGGGAAACAGTCTCTCCAGGACAGGACAGGGGATAGACCGCTGTGCTGGGGGCTTGGTAATGTTGAGAACTTGCTGAGTGCTAGTTTTAAAATCATCACTGTGTGTCATTTTTACCAGAAGAACTATGTCTGAAAAGTAAAGTAGAATATAAGAAGGATGAGTTATTTTTTCATTCTTAAACAATCTGATGAAAACGATATGTCTCTTTGCCCATGTGTGTACTGCATCATGTCCTAAATGAAGTCTACGGTCAAAAGAACATGGCTTCTGATGATGGGACTTTCAGCTCTTTTATGGGAGCCGAATCTTTCAAAGAGTCGTTCAAAAGACTGACTCTTTTACTATTTATTTATCACCGAAGCCAATGGGGGAACTTATTTTGTCACAGAGAGAAATGACTCAGGCTCAGATCTGTTTAGGATCAAACTGAGAGTAAAGTGTGTTTTTTTTTAAATTCTGCAATGAGTCTAAACAAAATGTTGCACTACATTACTACTCTACTACTACTACTACTACTACTACTACTACTACTACTACTACTACTACTACTACAAAAAATAAATAAATAAAAAAAAAAAAAAGTTAGATCCTATTCCATGATTCACGTGAAGGGGTCACAACAAACGCAAACGCCGTAACAAATACAAATGCGACGACACCAACGCAAATGCCGCAACACATTAAA